TAAAGTTAATTGAAAAGTGCTAGGAATTAAGTTAATCCAATGCTTTGTAAATTAGATTTAAAGATTAGGAAGGGTGTTAGTCTTTAAAGCCTCTGTGCCTTACCTGCAACAATTCTGAAACCACTTAACAATAGGTTATAGACCCAGTAAAACTGAGAAATTGGTTAATATGTGATGGTGCATTCTCAGGGAAACTTAAGAAAGATGATTTAAAATGGTAAAGCTAGCAAATTTATAAGCAGATAAAAGGCTTTTGAATAGTGTAGAACCATTTTCAAATTCTAGAGTACAAGGAAATACTTTGAAATTTCAGAAGTAATAATTCATTGCAAAGTGATGATTAAAACAAAGGCAAGAAAAACAATAATGACCCATCTTTGTTCACTGCTGCCAAAAATTCTGTTGTGTAATGTTCATAAAAATCATTATGTATTCTGCCTTGAATTGTGGATCAAGTCACAAAAGAGTACAGTGGCAGTGTCTTGTCCCTGAAAGGGGAAAAAGCCCAAAAGTAGTTAGAAAATTTCTTTTTACATAGGTTTTCTTTTCCCAAACTTATTAAGCCAAAATACAGCCCAATTACTTTAGCAATTTATGGACAATCATAGTCTTATTTGAAAACTGTTTTTATTGGACAAACTCAGTGGAATATGACCTCATGCTGTAGATTTATCAAAAAGTGGGAAATTATAAACCAGGCTCGGTGGTGTACACCTGTAATCCCAGTGACTCAGGAGGATCTTAAGTTTCAAGCCAGCCTCAACAACTCAGGGAGAACTTAACTTCTCACTACATTACCTAGTACCAATGTCTCCAAAAAACAAACAAACGAACAAAAAGGGTTGGAGATATGGTTCGGGTTTAAATGTCCCTTCTTTCAGTCCCTGGTACCAAAAATAAAAGTAGGAAACGATATGGTTTTGGGTTTTTGTTTTGGTACCAGGGGTTGAACTCAGAGGCATTCGACCACTGAGCCACATCCCTAGCCCTATTTTGTATTTTATTTAGAGACAGGGTCTCACTGAGTTGCTTATTAGCACCTCACCATTGCTGAGGTTGGCTTTGAACTCAAGATCTTCCTGCCTCAGCTTCCTGAGCCTCTAGGATTATAGGTGCACACCACCACACTCAGCATGATATGGATTTATGCCTCTTGAGTAGTTTCATTGTAACTCTTTCATTTGCTACTAATACCTAATCAAGAGTGAAGCAATAAAGTACAGATTTCTTTTCAGTGCTAGGAAAAGCGCTAGGAAAGCACTCTAGCACTGAGCTACATCCCAAATTTTTAAGTTTTACTTTGAGACGTAAGATGTCTAGGCTGTGATCCTTCTGCCTCAGCCTCCCTCGTAGTGGGGATTACATGCCTGCACCAACGTACAATTTTTTTTTAAACACCAAGGCATTAAGGTTTGCTTCCTAAAATTCAAATTCCCAAAGCTAGATGTGTATCAAAAAGTATAAAAACGATTATCAAGAAGTTAGGTGAATGACTAGGTGAAGTAGTCATGCAAAACACCCCAAGGACAAAGATTAGATTTACATAACATGGTGTAATGGAGACATCACTAGGCTGTAAGCCAAATGACTAGGATTCCACTCCTGCAAGGTATTAAGTGGGTATGTGCTCTTGGCCTCATAACAACCTGATCCTGTAGCAAACTGTAGGTGGGTGTTGTGGCACTCACCTGTAATACCAGCAATCTGGGAGGCCGAGACAGGAATATCACAGGTTTGAGGCCAGCCTGGCAATTTAATAAGACCCTTAACAATTCAGTGAGACCCATCTCAAAATATAAATAAAGTGCTGGGGATGCAACTCAGTAGCAACACATGCCTATGGGTTCAATCCCTAGTACCAAATAAATAAATAAATAAATAAWTAAAAGTGCTAAAATATTAGGTCTTCTGAGAAACATTTGTATCAGCACAGTCTTACCAGGAATATTATAATCAGATGGAATGTTTTTAGGAATGCAAGTATGCTTATATGACAAAAACAGAAATAAGGTTTATTATTGAGACCACATCTTGATAAATTGTCCAGGCTGGCCTTGAATTTACAATCCTCCTGCCTCAGCCTGCTGAGGGGCTGGGATTATGGAATAAACACTAAGACCAGCAATATGATGGAATGGATTTGAATATTTGTTGTAGCCACCCATCTCAAAATAAGACCAAAGTCCAGGGTTGTAAATTGGTCTTTTCAACTGTATCAATATATCTGGGAAATAATAATATTTGCAGCAATGCTTATTAAATTTGAAAGCAACATCAGGCATGGAGGCACAGACTCAGGAGGCTAATGCAGAACTATCACAAGTTTGAGTCCAGCTATAGCAATTTAGCTAGACCCTGTCTCAAAAAATAAAAAGGCCTGCAGATGTAACTCAATGTAGAATGCCCCTGGATTCAATTCCCAGTACTGAAAAAAAGAAAAAAAAATGTACAATTCTATCTTCTTAGATCATTAAAATAGAGTAAGAGGACTAGGGAAGGAAGGAGGGGAAAGAATGTATGGATAAAGGAATATACTAGGAAATGGAGAAAATTATGTGCATGTATAAATGTCACAATAAACCCTACTAGTATGTATAATTACAATGCACTAATAAAAACATTTTTTTAAAAATTCTGTCTTGAGGGGCTGGGGATGTGGCTCAAGCGGTAGCGCGCTCGCCTGGCATGCGTGCGGCCCGGGTTCGATCCTCAGCACCATATACAAAGATGTTGTGTCTGCCTGTTGAGAGCCACAGCCAAAGGGGCCCCAGCAAACTTCCAGCTGCCAGAAAACTTCCAGCTGCCGGCTGATGATGTTCATTGGGCTGTTTCCCTGCCCTTCAAGC